CCATAAGATTCCTCATCAACTTCTACAGATGCACCATTAAAAGCATACTGTCCGAGTGTATGATGGCCTGGTATAGCATCTGCTCTGCCCAGGGCTGTAAGAAACTGCAGAAGGTCGTGTGCACAGCCCAGACCATCACAAAAGCCAACCTTCCATCCATGGATTCCATTTACATAGCTCACTGCTGCAGAAAGGCTGTCAACATCATCAAAAACCCATCGCACCCTGGTAATGATCTCCTACAACCTCTTCCGTCAGGCAGAGGATACAGAAGCCTGAACACGTGCAGCAGCAGGTTCAGGAACAGCTTCTTCCCGGCCGTTATCAGACTGATGAATGGACTTTCTAGCCTCAACTAACACTGATCTTGCTATTGTTGATCTCATCTAGCACACACCCTTTTTTCTTTATTTTTTTATTCATTCACAGGAAGAGGGCTTTGCTGGCTAGGCAACATTTATGGCCCATCCCTAATTGCCCAGAGGGCAGTTAAAGGTCAACCATATTGCTGTGGGTCTAGAGTCACATATAGGCCAGGCCAGGTAAGGATGGCAGTTTCCTTCCCTGAAGAACATTGGTGAACCAGATGGGTTGTTTTTCCCGACAATCAGCAATGGATTCACAGTCATCATTAGATTCTTAATTCCAGATATCTATTGAATTCAAATTCCACCAACTGCCATGGCAGGATTCGAACCAGGGCCCCGAGAACATTATCTGGGTCCAATGATAATACCACTAGGCCATCATCACCCCATCATGTGTGCAATGTAACCTGTATGCCTCTGTCTCAGTTTTTTACAACCTTTGATCTGTACACCCATGCTTACCATGGCTTGCCTGTACTGCTCATAAACAAAGCTTTTCACTGTACTCCAGTACACGTAACAATAAATCAGTCAGTCAATCAAGTGGAAAACTCAACATTAGTTTCATAGGGAATTTTCTTTCCTGAAGGCACGAACACATGCTGGGGATCAGTACCATTAGTGTGAAAAGTCCTCCAGCCCTGAATCATAGTCTGATCTGACTTCAAGCAGCAAGACTGTAGAGTTTACCATGAGAGAATGTCAGAGCTGGGTGGAAACACTGACACACTTTATAACAAGGATTGCTGCACAGTAATCAGCAGAGGGGACCCAGAATGATTTATTTATTCCTTCAGAGTTAAGGAATGAAACAGTGATTTGGTTGTGTCATTTGAGATTGACCAATAGCTTAAGAATCAATTATCTGGGGCTTCTCTGGCTTATATGGGTCCATACCAGAGTATGCAATCCATTTATCCATTAATCATTGGGAACTATTTCAATGACTATGGTAATCCTATTATGCTAACATTGTATTACAGCATTTTTTCAACTTGCTTAAAATAGCAGGTTGGTAAGAATTATGCGTATCATCTGAAGATGTCCTTTTAGACTGAGAACCTTTGGGACCTGTACACAGTGAAATGCTCATTTATAACACCAGACCTGTGCAGTTTTCTCTGTATCATACTGTGTGCATTGCTTGTCCATCCCTGGGCTGGTAAAGAAACTCAGAAGGTGTAACTACAGTTCAACAATCCGTTGTGCTCTCAAACAGAAGGACTCATAAAGACTGAAGCAATAAAACAAAAAAATTGAAAAGTTTTAATTGGCGTTTCAGTGTGCAAACATTCAGTTTTTGAGCACAGCCTTTTTATTGCCATGATACCATCAAAATAGTGTCAAAAATGTGAAAGCTAGATTGCGTTCACAATAAAATAGTATTGGATTATGTGTGGAACACCCCCACCACCCTGCTCACCAGAATCCCTTTAAAGGAAGAATGTGTGTGCATTTGCAGATAGTAGACAATAGGCTCAATTCAAACTGGTCACAGTAGGTCAAAATGTGACACTTTGCCCTGTATTTTCACCACGACAGGCACTCCATTGTGTTGAAAATGGTGAACGCACTCAGAAATTTCAGGTCCTGCCCTCCAAACATGGCACATCCCTTTTTCAAGGAGAGGGGAAAAGGTCAAGTTGACATTCATACATGCACAGAGACAGCTGGCCAAGTCAATCATCAGCTGCTTCCACTCCTGTGCGACTTTGGTTGCTCAGGAGCATAAAACCTTTTTTGCAGACCAGGCCTGATTAGAGCAGACCTCAGCTCTATGCACTCCTCTGAATAGGAATACAGGAACACAAGTACGCCACTCAGCTCTTTGAACCTACTCTGCTATTCAATACGATCGTGGCTGATTAAACACTTCAATACCCTCAGTCACCCATCCCCATAATCCTATACACCACCATTAATCAGAAATCTATCAATATCTATCTTAAACGTACTCAAAGACAGAGCCTCCGTAGTCCTCTGTGGTAGAGAATTCCAAAGGTTTACAGCCCTCAGAGTAAGAAACAAAATCCCCTCATCGCAGACCTAAGTTGCACACCCTATCCCAGGTATCTTTTTGGAAAGATCAGGTATCTTTAGGATATTGTCCTAGACTGGGCAGATGTCCTTTTTTTGAGGTAAGGTGACATCCAGAGGAAGTTCAATAACTTTTGGAGAAGGTAAGGTGCTGTTTTGAATGGTTAAATGTAGGCATGAATGTGCACAAAAATATATAGAACTCTCAGAATCAACTGTAAAGAAGATATGTTAAAAGTGGCAAGAGGGCCTGTCAAAAAGACGTCTTAAAATGTTGGGAGGGCCTATCAATGGGAGAATACCCGTCAAGATCAACTTTCAAAGAAAGCTTTCAAGCTGTGAAGGGCAACTAAAAGTTCTGTCATTTAAACTTTGAAAAATGACTTAGAGTCTTTAAAGAACATTGCTTGTTATTTATGTCTGTTGACATCAGCCTGAGGACTTCCAGTAAGGGATTATTGCTGCATTAGTGATTTTACAACCATCCATTATGATGTAGGGTGTCTGCCACTTCACAGTGTGATTGACAACTGCAACTAGATATCGACATTTTAAATGAATTCCAATGCTTCTACAGGATTGAGTTCATGACTGAAATGCTTATCCCCATAAGACATTATGGCGTTGAAAGAATGTGAACGGATTTTTATAAAAGAGAATGTTTCTCTCAATGTAGTGAAGACTTCAGTATATTCTTAGAATGTTATCTCCTCTCTGGATGAATCCTGAGATCTGAGCATGGTGGATACCAGGTGAATTGACACAATAGGTGTACCATAGTGGGTGAGGAACATGAGCTGGCACCAAGTTATCATGGATGTTGTAAAGAGCAATGGAGGTGGTTGTAGGGACAAAGGCTGGCAGGCAGGGTATGGGTGCAATGGTGGTAGTACAAGCCATGAAATGGCATGGGTTAGCATGGTGCATGTTTGAATGAAGAAGTGAGAGGGTGTGAGGGCTGAGGAGTGTCATTGCACAAATTCAGGCCTTCTACACAAGCCATCTCTGAACCTGGCAGCTTCCAGTCCCACTCCAGGGTTGCCCAGCCTCAATTCTAACATAGCCTGCTCAGCAGACCAAAAGTCCATTGTCTGGGCATCCATTTCAATAAGAATGTTTTGTGGAAACGGGAATGCTCCTGACTTGTGGAAGAAAATCTGGGTTTTGTTTTGAAGATCTTCTGCTCATGTAAGAAGCATGCAAAGCAGTTCAGCAGTAAGTTAGTCACTGACAGGGAAGTTATTTTCAGATATTCCTTTCTGTGTAATACATAGTTTTGTGGAGTGAACAATTAAGTCTATACATATGTTTAAATATGTCTGCTCATTAATCATTTTCCAGGATTGCTATTTAGTTCAAAGCTTACTAAGAGCAAAATGCAGATTTGCCAGAGATTTTTTTAAAAAGCCATTATCAGTCTTACACTAAAAACTGTAAATATATGCTCAAAGTTAATAATAGAAACAAGAACATCCTTTAAAAGATGTTTTCAAAGATGTTACTAAACAACATATAACTAAATCCTGTTGCTCTTATTTGCAAGAAAGATTCATCTGCTCTTTGCCCATTGCCTTTCATTCAAAAAGCAACCAATAAATGTGAAAATATACAAATTAAAGGGTTAACATCCCTTTTCTTTAGCTTTCCAAGGCTGTAATGAAAGACATGTTAAAAATATCAAACAGTTCTATTCAGATTCTTGTTATGTATGGCAGTGAGAGTAACATACTATTTATATTGCCAAAATACCATAAAATTGATGTAGGAACTATATTGCACTTTACAATTCAGTCCAAGAATAAATTCATCCATGTCCATCATAACTGGAACAAATGAATTAAATGTTTAAAAATGTGTACACAAAGTTCTTCTTTTGATAAAAGGAACTCTGTCTTTAGTATGCTCTCTCTATATATGTATATGTATATATAACATAATATCAAAATACATACGAATCAAAATTTAAACTTAAAATCAGGATATATACTTTGTTATTAAAATGTACAATAACATTAGCATCTTCCTTCATTATTGAATTACAATCACCAAATATACAAATAATCTTGTTCAAGTCCATACAATTCCAATATATACTCTTTAAATTACCGAACAGAGACAATCTTCCACACATATTGTGGCCTATTAAAAATTAGGTCAGAACGGGCTGCCTAATATATTCTTTCCCACACAAAACATATGTGGTGAAGTTTCTTGAAAAATAAAGTGATTTGTAGCACTCTTGCTGTTTAATAAATACATTATAACTTTGTGCTTGTGTGCACAAGCAGGAGGCTATAAAACGAACAGGAAATCCAGATGAAACTCTCCTCCGGATGTTGTAGACAAGTCAATAATTTACAGGTGTACTTCTTAAAAGCTCCATACGAGGGAGCCAGAACTCCTTATTGGACTTCAATACACAGCAATCAGTCAGCAGGCTTTTTTGTTCCAAATATTAGCTTTGGCTCTGTGGGGTAAAAGCTCATTTAACTTCCAAGATAGTCACAAACCATTCTTTATGCATGAAAGAAGGAAATGCAAGAACAGCCAGAGAAAAAATTCTGTTCGATGATCTCCGGTTGCTGTCCAATCTGCTTAAATGCTGTCTTGGCACATTGGCAGGTTGACAAAGGTAAACACATTGAATTCGATCATTATTGAGAAACACAAGAAGATAGCATAGAGGATGAGCACATAAATACCAAGCTTTTTATCCAGTTTCCATCCATTCACATGGATACCAGCCACCTAGAGCCACAAATATAAATAAATATATGTACACACAGTTAGCATAGAGCAAAGGATAGGAAATCACATTGTCCTCAAGTCAGTAACCTCTGTTAGAAACTGATAGTTTTCAACATGATGTTAGCCTTTTTATCTGAGAATCAATTAATAATTTACTTTCCAGCATTTAATTACATTGAGCCCTTGAAATAATTTTCACACTTATGACAGGTAAGCAAATATTTCAATGAAATGTTAAGTGGTTAAAGTCTGTCCACAGTTAATTATAGTTCTCTAAATTAGCGACTATTGCTCGCCCATTTCCCAAAATATATGAGACTTGGCCTTGTTTTTAAAGTAAAATGCCACACAGTAATGCCCAAACCTATTGTAGTTCCCTTTATTCATTAATGGGATGAGAACATTGATACATTTATTGTCCATCCCTAATTGCCCAGAGGGCAGTTCAGAGTCAACCACATTGCTGTGGGTCTGGAGTCACATGTATATATGCACCACGCCTCACTCCAGCTCAGTGCTATCTTGTGCTTGCCAGGGATAGATCCAAGGCTTTCTGGGCTTCCCATGCCAGTGCCAAATTTAAAACCCAGTTACCCCAATTCTGGTCAATCACTGCCAGCTAGACTGCCCTGTGTCCGATGAATTGCCTCAGAAATGGCTGACAGAGTCACATTGGCTCCCAGGTTTGCTGTCATAGGCATGGAGGTTCTCCGCAAATGTTCCTTGCCACTTCTCAACTGAAACCTTAATATTGTCCAGATCTTGTTACATTTGGTCAAGGATTGCTTTAGTATCTGAGGAGTGAATCATCAGCAAATATCCCTGCTTCTGACCTTATGAAGGAGGGAAGGTCATTGGTGAAGCAACTAAAGGTGGTTGGGGCAAGGACACTGCCCTGTGGAATATCTGCAAAGCTGTCCTAGAGCTCAGATGACTGACCTCCAACCACTATGACCATCTTCCTTTATGCTGAGTATGACCCTAGTCAGCTGTTGATTCCCAGTGACAGATACCTGACTCGGGTAGACTTTAAATGAGGATAAGATTTTGCTCAGCTGTGACACCCTCCATAGTCAAATAGCTGGCTCTCAATGTCCCATTTACAGAGTTCGTTCCAGAATACAGTCCTAGTTTTTGCTGGGACTACATCAGAAGATTGCGATCAACAGTGAACCAGTTATTCTGGTTGCAAGCTCAAGTGGACTTCCCACTGACAATAATACTGTAGAATTATATTTGCATCCAAGGGTGTGCTGACCACAATGATTTTTTTTAGACTGGTCTGATTATCTCACAATCTTCCAAGTCATGGTATTAAATTGCACACAGGTTTTGGAACGATAAATAGAGATATCAGGCTGGTAATTATGAGTGACAGAAATCAAAGAAACCTTCAGCCTCCTAAATACTGTTGAATAGAGATGGAATATTGTTTTCAGATGCGGGCTATTGCAAATTCTCAATGATACCTCAGGAGAGGCACATGAGACCACTAAATACAAGACTGCCAAGCTGCTAAATTTAACATTCAATGATAAATAACACCGAGAACAGATAATCAAATTCTTGGATTGTTAAAATGCAGCACAATAATGGAAACTTGGGTAATACAAGTCCCAAACTGATGAATACAGCTTCCAGACTGGTGAAAGCAAACATTAACCTGACGAGTACAGCTCCCAAGCTAACAAATGCACTATCAGCATAATGAGCACAGCTCTCGCACTCAAGAATGTAGTCATTAGATTGATAAATACAGCTCACAAACTAATAAAGCCATCATCAAACTGATAAACACAGCTCCCAGATTATCAATGACAGCCATCAGCTTGATAAAACAAAATGCAGTAAGAATTAGGACTATTGAGGATGCTTAACTACTACAATTAGATCAAGATGTGTTTAAGGAGAGAATGTCTGCATAGAAAAAGATGTTTAGCTTAGAAAAGTGTACTGCTGCACATGTGGGCAGTTAAAATATTAAATACGGTCACATTTTAAAAAGGAAAAGAATAAATCCAGTGGTGAGGGAAAAGAGAACAAGATACTTATCAATTTCTAAACGTCTATGGCTCATCCCTTATTGCTAAAATAAATAAATTTATGAGGTATATGTGCTGTTCTATTCAATATAATTAAAAGGATACAGTTTGGCCTCACTCATGAGCTTGGTGAGGCCTCACTTAGAACTGTGTGCAACAATGGGGAATATTGCTTTGGAAAATGCGCAGCAGTGCACCCACTGGTTTAAGTTCCAGTGTAAAGCTCACTTAGCCAGGTAAGCTCAATATGAGTTGGATCTCTCCACTTTAGACGAGTGTTGGCTTTTGAGTGACTGAACCAAGTGACCAAATTATCTTTACACAAATAAACTTTTCTCAACTGGATAAATTCGAAAGGATCATGGTTACTAAAGGCAAAACCAGGTGGGTCACATGGCTGTTGGATGATTCCTCTTTTTCTAGAGAATAGTGGAGCTGTTGAACAGGTTGACAGTTTTTCTGGTGAACTCTGATTCATTGAATTATTTCAGGACAGAGCTGGATCTGTTTCTGACTTGGACGGAAACCACCTCATACAAGACACACATTAATCAGGGCCAGTGCAATCTCCTGGACTAGTTTTGCTTACTTCGGGAGGTCAGACAGTTATTTTAAGTTTCTTTTCCTATACTGGACTAAATTTCTATTTGATATTTTACTTGTGTCAGAAGACTACTAGACTCCAGTTGGTTACCAGTCTGTGGTGCATCAGACATCACAACTACCGGACAGAAGACAGATTATTATCGAATAGCAGAGCTATGTGGGACAATATAATTCTTACCGTATTAAACAGAACTCTTAGTTATGCTATTGAGTACAGTCCAAATACAGTTTTCACTCTGTCACAGCTATCGTTACCATTTACAAGGCGATCACGGTAAGATGTCTAAAATACTGTTCTCAATGGCACTTACCCCGTCCTCCAGCTTGAAGCCAGCATTTCTACATGCACTGTCAATGCAGCTCCAGGTTTGGCCAGTAGAAGGCATAATATGGCACTGAAAACTGTCAGCCACTACTTCAGTCAGGAGGTTACAAGACATTACTCTTCTAATACCAATATCTGGAGAGATAATCCACACCTCTAGGGAATATTTGTGTTTGTGGAAAGCAGTGTACTTACTGTGAGTGCTACGGATCCTAAAAGAAGTATAACAGAATAAACAAGACCTCTGCTATTGATGTGCACCTGTAAAACAAAATGAAACCTTTCAATCACAAGATCCAGGATACATAGCAGCATTAATAAGGAAAGCCTGCCTCAGATCAGTTCAACGGCACTTGAGTTGGTTCATCTGCTTAGGAGAACATTTCCTGGTGAGCTCAGTATTTTTTAATTGTGATTTTATATGGACTTGGAACTTTGGACTGATACTTTCCCTTTTATTACTTTTATAAAATAATTCATTCTCGGTAAACGCATTCTCGCCTCCGAGTCAGGTGCATGTTTTATTTCCCCATCACGAGAAATGCAAAATGATCACAGTATGATAGCACAAGGAAGTCAGAGCTAATGAAGTAATTAAATATAATTTGAATAAATGATACACAAGCAGATGCATAATACATTTTAAAAATATAATTGAGGTTTAATATTTATTGCTCGTCCCAAGCTTAGATATTAATTCCACTGATCAAGTCAAAGATTGCTTCATAAATCAGACTTTACAATCTCAAAAAAAGGCCATGTCAGTGAACTGGACTGCAAACATTCATTCATTCATAGCATTTCTCCATCTATTAGGCAACATGCTTAGGATCAAATTTTTTCAAGCCTTTTGGTTCCCAAGTCCATAGAGAACAATGAGAAAGAAAAGATATGTAAGTGTGAACGTCAGTCAACTGATGAGCAGGAAGAGTAAAATATACTTACAACAGAACCAGTGTTAATAATCATTGTCTGAAGACCCCATGGGAGACCTAGGCCTACAAGAATGTCAAAGACATTGCTTCCTACTGTATTCGACACTGCCATGTCACCCATCCCTAAACAAAATAAAGAGTTATATAAGTCTGACAGGCGTCCACACAACAATTGATGAAGTATTGCTAACCTTTAAGGATATATCTGTAAACAAAATCCATTAAAACCCTTGTTTCAGAATTTTACTGAGATAATACCAATATTTTTGTCTGCAAAAGTTTTATTGAGGTATATCAAAGGAATATCATGAGGCATGATATTCTTCTGAAGTGCACTGCACATGAAGTTGTGTGTTCAGATGATGAGTAGCCCCCCCCTACCTCCCCCCCTCCCCCACCCTCCAGAAGGGATAAGAACTATTAACCCTGGAGTGTTTTGTGCCCTCACAGGCTTCCAGCTCCAAGGATCTGATGGCTTTGGGGACAGACCATCATTTAATTCTTCAGGCCTCCCTGATGGCTGCCGCTCTCACCCTTCAGCTGAAGGGTTCTTACAAATAACTGCCCATACAGCATACCAGAGAGAAAAAACAAAATAGATGGCAAGCTTTGTTAAGATTATTATCCACTTATTTTCATACATTTACCATGGCTATATTTTGTTCAGGACATAGGTCACACACTAAATTTGTGGAAAACTGATATAGTCAATCATATTTTAAGTTTAAAACACAGGAAATGTAAGAAAGATCCATTAACCAGACTTTTTTAATAAACACAAAATTAATTATTTATTGTAGAACAAAACCTATTCAATGAAGACAATAAATTGGCTAACATATTCAATTTGGAATACGAAAATTTAAATGTTTACCATCTAGATAACCCAGAAACAAGCATGAACATATGCATTGAGTAAAAGAAAACAAAACTGATTTCTCTCTATAGAGATTCACTGTAGGGGAAAAAATACAGGTTGGCCAGTAAGTCTCAATTCTTGGAAAATAAAATGGCTAAGATGTGTAATATGCAGATGCCTGTTAGTCTGGTTTTCTGACATATGTGTAGGCAGGCATCACCAAACACGAGTGGTTGTTTCTGGGATCTTGATAGATACAGTTTGCTAAGTAAACGCTGTATCACAAATTCTTCCAGTCAGTCTTCAATGGGATAATCAGCAAAGGTGCTTCAAACACAGGAGATACAAACTGAATAATTTGTTTCCTAGCAGGCTTCCGCCAATTGAAAATCCAAACACAAACTGGAAGCTTGCAAATCACTGTTCAAAAAGAAACATGGGCCGAGGAGTGGCAGATGGAGTATAATTTAGATAAATGTGAGGTGCTGTATTTTGGAAAGGCAATTCAGGGCATGACTTATGCACTAATGGTAAGGTCCTGGGGATGTTGTTGAACAAAGAGACCTTGGAGCACAGGTTCATAGTTCCTTGAAAGTAGAGTCACAGGTAAATAGCATAGTGAAGAATACATTTGGTATGCTTGCCTTTATGGATCAATGCATTGACTATCGGAATTGGGAGGTCACGTTGCAGCTCTCCAGGACATTGGTTAGGCAACTTTTGGAATACTGCATGCAATTCTGGTCTTCCTACTATAGGAAGGATATTGTGAAACTTGAAAGGTTGTTGCCAGGGTTGGAGGGTTTGAGCTTTAGGGAGAGGCTGAATAGGCTGGTGCTATTTTCTTTGGAGAGTCGGAGGCTGAGGGGTGATCTTATAGAGGTTTATAAAGTCATGAGGGGCATGGATAGGGTGAATAGACAAGGTCTTTTTCTCAGGGTGGGGGAGTCCAAAACTAGAGGGCGTAGGTTTAAGGTCAGAGGGGAAATATTTAAAATGTGCCTCTAAGGGGCAACCTTTTCACACAGAGGGTGCAGGGTGTATGGAATGAGCTGCCAGAGGCAGTGGTGGAGGCTGGTACAGTTGCAAAGGCATCTGGATGGGTATATTAATAGAAAGGGTTTAGAGGGATATGGGTCAAATGCCAGCAAATGGGACTAGATTAATTTAGGATATCGGGTTAGCATGGACGAGTTAGACCGAAGGGTCTGCTCCATGCTGTACAACTCTATGACCCTTATAACAGATATAAAACACAGTTGTCAAAAGAGTCTGGTGTTTTCACTGAAGAAAGTTCAACTAAGATCAGCAATTGTCTGGATTCATGTGATTTTCAGGAAACACTATTCCAATGGGTCTTATTAAATAAACATTCCAGACATCTCTACAATCGTTCAAACTCAAGTCCCAAAAATCTATTACATTTGAATCCATCATAACACCCATTTATGATTCTATACAGCTGTATTTTATGCACAACAGTTTCTAATTTCTTCCACTCAATAATGCCAGCGAGAACTAGTTCTCTTCAAGTTATGCTGACTCTTCTAAAACTAGCTGATAATGAAAAAATTATGAACTTGACCTATTATTCATTCCAACGACTTTAAAGGAGTTTTCTGTATAATTAAATTTCTAAGCTGCTGATATCTGACAAGGTAAAATTTCTAAAGCATGACAGCTATCAATTTTAACATTAATTCTTATAAAAAGAAATCAATTCTATTGATCAACCAGTTGTGCTGTTTTTAAAGATGCATTGGGCTCCTAGAACAATATGGTAGATGAATCTTAGCTAAGTTGGTCAAAGCTAGCACAATGCCCCATTAATAAACCATGTAAAATCATGGAATACATATCTACCTTGTCTGGCCACTATTAAACTAGCCATACAATCCGGAACACTTGTTCCTGCTGCCAGAAATGTTATTCCCATGATAATATCTGGGATCCCAAGTGTATACCCTGTTACAGTTACCTGCATACAGAAAAAAACAGGTAAATATAATCAAGTGTTTGACAAACATGTAACACAATAAGATCTGTACAAAAAGATAATTTTACTGCATCATTATTATTTTTTATATTCTTTCATAGGACATGTGTCACTGGCTAGGACAGCATTCATTGCACATCTTAATTGCCCTTGAGTAAGCAGAAGTGAGTTTTTCCCTTGATCCACTGCAGTCCACAGTGCTGATAGGAAGGCGGTTCCAGGATTTTGACCCCACAAAAATGAAGGAACAATGATATAGTTATAAATCAGGATGCACTGTGACTTGAGGAACAATTTGCAAGTGGTGTTGTTCTAATAGAGTCATACAGCACAGAAACAGACCCTTCGGTCCAACTCATCCAAGTACCAGACATCCCAATCTTACCTAAGCCCACTTGCCAGCATTTGGCCCATATCCATCTAAACCCTTCCTATTCATATACCCATACAAATGCCTTTTAAATGTTGTAATTATATCTGCTCCACCACTTTCTCTGGCAGCTCATCTTATACACTCACCACTCTCTGCGTGAAAAAGTTATTTCTCAGGTCATTTTTAAATCTTTTCCCTCTCACCATAAGCCTCTGCCCTCTAGTTTTGGACACCCCCATCCTAGGAAAAAAGACCTTGGCTATTCACACTATCCATGCCCCTCATAATTTCATAACGCTCTATAAGGTTACCCCTCCACCTCTGACGCTCCAGGGAAAATAGCCCCAGCCTATTCAGCCTCTCCCTATCGCTCAATCCTTCCAACCCTGTCAACATCTTTGTAAATCTTTTCTGAACTTTTTCAAGTTTCACAACATCTTTCCTATAGCAGGGAGACCAGAACTGAACACATTATTCCAAAAGTGGCCTAACCAATGTCCTGTACAGCCACAAGATGACATCCTACATTCAATTCCTGAACAATGAAGCCAAATGTACCAAATGCCTTCTTCACTAACCTGTCTACCTACAACTCCACTTTCAAGGAACTATGCACCTGCACCCTAGGTGCCTTTGTTTGGCAAAACTCCCTAGGGCCCTACCATTAACTGCATAACTCCTGTCCTGGTTTGCCTTACCAAAACGTAAAACCTCACATTTGTATAAATCAAACTCCTTCGGCCCCTCCTAGGCCTATTGGCCGAAAGGTCCCTTTGTACTCTGAGATAACCTTCTTCACTATCCACTGCACCTATTTTGGTATCATCTGCAAACTTACTAATCATACCTCCTATATTCATTTATATAAATAACAAAAAGCAGTGGACCCAGTACTCATCCTTGTGGCACACCGCTGGTCACAGGTCTTCAATCTGAAAAGCAACCCTCCAGCACCACCCTATGTCTCCTACCTTCAAGCTAATTTTGTATACAATTGGCTAGCTCCCCCAGATCCCATGTTATCTAACCTTACTAACGAGTCTACCACGCGGAACCATTTTGAACGCTTCCCTGAAGTCCACATAGTCAAAATATACTGCTCTGCCTTCATCAATCTTCTTTGCCACCTCTTCAAAAAAACTCAACCAAGTTAGTGAGACATGATTTCCCAAATGTATCTACTGCCCTCATCCTCAGACCCGGGTTAGGATTTTGGCAGGTGCTGTTACAGGAGCCTTGCAGATTTGCTGCAGTACCTCTTGAAGGTGGTACACACTGCGGCTACTGTGCATTAGTGGTGGAGAGATTAGATGTTGAAGTTGGTGAATGGGGTGTCAATCAAGTGGCTTGTATTGTCTTGGATACCATTGAGATTTTTAAGTGTTGTTGGAGCTGCCCTCATCCAGCAAGTGGCTCATCACATGAGAGTTGCACAGATGGATGTGAGGGCCTAGTTTTGCACTACCAACAGAGGACAATTGTTTAACTTACAAATGTTAGTTGTAATTATGGCAGATCGAATGGCTGGCATATCTTATTTAGAACATAGAACATAGAACATAGAACGTAGAACAGTGCAGCACAGTATAGGCCCTTCGACCCACGATGTTGTGCTGAACTTTTACCCTAATCATAAGGTCTATCTAACTTCCACCCCTACCTTATACTATCATCCATATGCCTACCTAATAGCTGCTTAAATGCCCCTAACGTGGCCGACTCCACTACCCTCTCCGGCAATGCATTCCACGCCCCAACCACTCTCTGAGTAAAGACCCTACCTCTGATGTCTCCCCTGTATCGACCTCCACTCACTTTACAACTATGCCCCCTCGTAATAGCTACGAGAGTTACATTTAGCATGGGTTTGTTTTATGATTGGGTCTGGGTGTTGATAGAAGGAAGTCCACACTCATATTTGTGATCATCAACAACATTTATTAAATGTAACAATGCGCAAGAGCGGCTAACAGAGCTATCTCTGAAACCCTGCACCCTTGGGTGCTTACACCATGTGGTGTGAAGTCATTATGACTCAGATCCTTATGCATATGCTCAGTTGCTATTCTTAGAATAAATGTATTGTTAGCCCTTTACTCCACATGATTGGCAACTGAATTATTATCTGTTTCTGAAATAATTGAACAATTCAAGTCTCCAATTTCATGCCTGAATGCTGCCACTTAACTAAGGCTGAACAGGTACAACAGAATGTAGGACTGCAACCTAACCCTGATATATAGGCAAATATACAATGGTCTTCCTTTAAGATGATACATATGTTAACTGTAGATTTCACGAATACAAAATAATGGAAATTTTCCTCAAGTATCTCAGATTTTTCTTTTGGCTTGTTTGCAATTAATAATGTTTCAGTCTCATGTATTTTGTGCACCAGCAACTGATTTAATCAGCCAACTTGCTGATTTTATAAAATTTAACATTTGGCACAAAGTGAAATAGTTGACTCACACATCACGCATGGAGAATCAAATTCCGGAAAATTGCCATGGTTTATCAACATGCCAGCCATTTGTTTGGCCAGTTTCTTTGAGCTGTCTTTATCTGGAGTGACTACAAACAAGAGTTTGCGTGGGCATCACAATTTGGAAAGCAATTGATTTATGCTTAGCCAATAAGTAAGTCGTCATCATCACTTAATGAGTATTAATCTCAGGTCTCTACTGTCTGTTAAGAAAGATGTTTAAATCCCTAAAATTGTCTGTAATCTAGTGATCAAAATGATTTGGATTTGAAAGACTCTTAAAGGACAGGTGTAGAGTACTTTGAATAGTTAGTTTCAAAGATAGCACACTGATTTGTGTTGGCTACACTGACAGATTCATGCCACACCATGTGTCACAGTGCAAATTATATTCTACGTATATTTTCAGTCTTGATTTCCATCACAACTGAAATAAAAAGAACCAGCAGGAGCAATAATGTACTTGACCAGACAGTTATAGTCCAAATTTATTTTTAAATTACCTTGCCAAAATTGCTTCTTTAAACAAGGAAACCAATCGTGCATCATTTACCTGAGTTTGCCGATCTGTATTACCTGATTTACTTCAGTTATATTAATTAGAAAAATTAAAAAGTGAAAATGAAAGAGGTATGGCTTAAAAAATTCTGAAGGGGAAATAGACATTGTGGCAGTGTGGATTGGAGTTATGTGTTAGGAGCTTGGGCAAATCCCAATATAGCTGACTCTGGGAATTTCCTGCATATGCTCTGAACTCAGAGTGAGATTTTGGGATTTCAGAAGATTTCAACCCACTTAAATTTAGTAGTTGGCCAAAAAAATTGGAGGAAACATTTTCAGGACTTAAAGACCCAATTCACCACTGACCTCATCCCCTGACCACATCACCCACTAACCCCAACACATTTGGACCCAACAGCCCCAAATCCCGAGCTAAAACCCTGCCCCAACTCGATAGACTGCCTCAGCAGACCTAATACCAACACCAGACTCCACACTGACCCTCCTGACTCAGCTAAACACAACAACTCCTCCTGACCAGACCCCTTGAACCACTCTAATCACTGGTTCACTCATGACCTTTAGGGAAGCAAACCTGCCATCCTTGCCCAATCTCCAGATTCACAGCGACCTGGTTGACTCTTAACTGCCTTCTGGCTAATTAGGGATGGGTACCAAATGCTGGTCTAGCAAGCGATGCCCACATCCCGTGAATAAATAAAAAAAAACTTATTCACGTGACTGATTCCCTAACTCCCTCACCTACCTTGGAATCTTATCACTTCACCCACCTAGCACCTCTCAGTAGCTTTCCAGTTGGCTACAGGACCTTTAAATCACAGAATCATGCACTTGCTGCTGAAAAGGGGGCATAGTAAAAGGGTGTGATCCTCTGTGTTCCTGTTTTCATTGACTCCTGACTTCATCTACACTGCTCTGGAAGAGAAAACTCCAGGATACAAATTTGTGGAGAGAACACGTCTAAAGGTAAGTGCCTATTTTTCGTTTGATCAGAATCAGAGAAACAGTTTCCAATCCTGATCTCAGCCAATGTATATACACTTCATGATGCTAAATGAATAAAAATGAACCACTGGTGACAGGAATGGTAGTAATACTGGGTGTCAGGACAACAAGTGATATTAATAGTACAGAATAGCACTTTCACAAAGCAACACCACATCTGCAATACATTGAATATAACAAAAGCTCAGAATTTTTCATTTCCATATTGTACTGATAGTGTCCATAAGTGCACTACACTTACAAGCATTTTAATTATTTAACAAAATGTTCCTGCAGAATCTAATTTTAGGAAAATATAATGACCATTAATCAAAGGTTTCAAACCTAGAGAGAATTACCAGTGATTCCGTTTTGATTAAACTAATAATGGACAATTTTTAATTGGTGACTATCTTGATCCTTAGGAGGAGGAAAGTAAGACATATTTTGTTTGAAATCCTTTGAATTTGTTGTGAAAATATATTGTGTACATAATTTTTGAGCAACAAGCCATGAAAGTTAATAAATGTCAGACAAAACATTTCATGCATTTACTTATATTTCTGATCTATCTTTAATCTAATGTGGTCAATATTTAATTTATTAATTTATTTTATGATAACAGCTATTTGAAAGCAAGATTTCAAATCTAATTTAAATAATATTAATAATTAATGTGGCACATGAACGACAATTATGTTTTTATATCCTGCACCAAGTAGAATTATGTAAAATGCTCATTGCAAAAAATATTTCAGCATCTTATTTATTGTCAATGTTGTATTTAATTGAACATTACAATTATTCTTAATTAACAATCAGTGGTCTACTGTTGAAAAGTTCTATAGCAGTACTTTGGTGCTACAGATCATACAAATGGGAGGATAGTCCAATTGGCTTTGTTAGTGTAATTCAGGTAAAGTGAATGCCTGTGGATCTGGCCCCGTTGAAGTCTCAGGTCATTTAAACCTCTGTTTTACAAATATGGCTATGAAATGTAGCTGCCTAGCTGTTAATTAACAATTAAAGATAAGCTTCACCTCGAGAAGACATTAACAAGTGCCACACAGCAAAGATGTAACCCATTTCAGCCCAATTCACCTGGTCAAGTTTCACATCTGAACATTCCTGTGCTAAAAACAGATAACCAAACATTCGGGTGAATTTGGTCTTGGCGAGGGACAGATCTGGTAAAGGAAATCATGTAAGCTGTAAGACCATCATGTAAGCTGGTTCATCTATTTTATGGTATTTTTCAAGGCAAATTTCATCCCCGACTTTCAGACTGTTCAACGTGACAATACTGCAAATTTAATTACTTTTAGTTGCAATACTCAGCTTTTTTTCTTATTTTGCATCCATTACTAGTATAAAATGCTGAATAACACCAATGCCAGTACAGAGACAGTGAAAAAGGGAATATATCAACGAGATTAAAAGACCTTAGGAATAAAAGGATGCAGGGCATCACAATATGCCAGCTCCAAAGATTCAAAACTCTGAGTGAAGATGTTCCTCCATATCTCAGTCATAAATAGTAAGCCCTTATCCTGAGACTGTGACCCCTTGTTCCACGCTTTCATTCCGCAGATCAGTCTCTTAGCATCTCTCCTGCCAAGCTGTCTAAAAATGTTATACATTTCAATAAGATTGCATCTCGTTTTCCTAAACTCCAGAGAACCTGGGTCCTTCGATTCAGTCTCACTGCACAGGACAACTTTAGAATAATGAACCTTTTAACACCTCTAAGACAAAAACTGTACACAGTAATCCACGTGGGTTACCAATGTCCTGTAGAATGACATCGAGGCTTCCTTACTGTTAAACTGTCACCTCTGGCAATAAAAACTAACGTACCATTTGCCTTCTTTGTACTTTGCGCTACCAGTATGCTGACTTCCTGTCATTCATGTGAAGGATACAAAAAAAACCCCTCTGACTCAAAATCCTGTTAATCCCAACATTTTCTAGTTTCTCATTCTTTCTTTATTTCTGTTTTTTTCTGTTCTTCCCACCAAAGTAAACAACTTCACATTTTCCTGCATCATACTCCATCAGCCACTTCTGTATCTCACTGCATAACTGTTCTATATCCCTTTGCATTCTTTGTATGACCTCCTCACAGCTGACTTTCCCACCTGTATTATCAGCAAACTTGGATACATTACACATGGTCCCTTACTCACTGATGCAGTTTGTAAATACTGATTTTTGTGGCATTCCACTAATTACAAGCAACCATCCTGAAAATGATCCACTTAGTCCTACTGTCTGTTTCCCAATCCTAATTCATTTTAATAGAATAATTCAATGGTCATCTCAATTGTTTGCAGCAATACATTTGCAAATCATGGAACTGCAGTCTCTTTTTCTTACTCCAATTCAAAGATTTGGCTTCTTGGCAGCCTGGGACTATTGCAATTGACATCCCTCAATAAATTCTTTCAACCCAAAATAGCCCAAGATGTTAAACATGTGATGGTTTCCCTGAGTGATTTATTTTGTACATACCATCCACACCATTAAATAAGAAAAGACTGCAATCCAGACGGTGGACATGAAAAAGGTTAGCATGAAGAAATTTTCCCAGCGAGGCTTTGCACAGTTAGGGACTGTGAAGAACAGCACAACCACTACCGGCCATGAACTCAACCATTTCATCTTATTCAAGCATCCCCCTGTCGATAAAATATAGATATGGTTTTATCAGCAATGTGAGGGAAAAGACATGCATTCAGTCATTAGATGGTACACAGTAAAGATACAGAGACTGCCTTGGTCTTTTTAACAAAAAAAAATCCAACAGAATGTTTATACCTTCTCCCAGTACACACTGGCAACTATTTTTAAATATAGGCTTTCAATCACCAGTGCAGGTAGTCATGTTTTCAATCACAGACAATTTTATAAGCCCTAGGGAAAGATGGCCAGCATTGTCAACTTAAATGTCCTCCTGTTTAGAATCACATACAATTTGTTTTATTTCTGGATCTTAACACTTTGCTCACAATAGCACTTCACTGAGCCATGAAATTAGGCAACTGATTAATTTGATAGTTTAAATGACTATTGCAAAAATATTACAGCACAATAAAACTAATTTCTGAATGCAAATCATGTTGATAAAAGTACCACAGATTTCATTCAAGCATTTTTCCCTGCTTCATATTATATGTTATTTAGGTTCAACAGCTACACAACTCATCTTTGCTATCAATAGTGTATATCATGGCTGATTGTGAGCAGGTTAACAAGACTGAGTATCTCCTCTTGCATAGAACGTTTCTTTAAATTTGTAAAGGAAATGCAATATAGTTCTATTGTCACATTATTGTTTATCACGATGAAGGCCATGTCAGTTTCCAACCTAGAAAGATAAAAATGAGACAGATTCACCTGGGCCTGATCTTGCAGTTACAGTATAGTGTAAAGGTTTAGTAGCAGCCATGTTAGCACACATTCTCCCTCTTTATACTTGACCACTACCATCCCCATCTCCCCATCGTTCTAGAGAACAGTCTGTAGAATGGGGGGATAATAAGGGAAAAACAATGTGAGGAACTGTCTGAAATTAAAGGTTATTGCTTCAATCAGATGAATAATTTGGTAAAACTGATTTGCAGTTTTGTTTTGTAAAGATTGTTAAAATTAATTTGAGATGTAGAGTCAATGGTTATGTACAGCGCTATTCACTCTAATGAATTTATTAAGGGAACTAGCTTATTTGTGAATGCTTAAAGCCTTTGATTGGCCGACATCTTCATACTGCTACAATTGTCTGTGGCTTATCCAAGGTAATTTATGAAGTAAGGCCCCAGAATAATTTTTGTTTACAAATTAAACTGAGTGCAGGTGACTGACTGCACCATGAAGTGGTTTGCCCCTGCCCCACCTTATTGGTGAGTAGATGAGCTGGAAAAGAAGAAAAAGGCAAAGGTTACATATTTTTCATGGGTGAATTGGCAAAATGCCTGTCTAATTATAGTGGAATTATGAATGCTTCAAGGTGATAGCAAGGGTACTTTCAATTAAAATTACCACTGTCAGACATCATACAGGACATAGTGATTAAGAGGAAGTGTAGAAATCAAAGCTTTTGTTTGAAGAAAGGTTTTCAATAAAATATGAAATAAGGAAAAATAAGTAAAACAAAAATAAAATCACTATAGTTTTTAAACTTCTCATTGGAGTCAAGTAACAACAACTATCATCCATAAGAAAGAATTTAGCATGCCTGCTTTCACTGCTCAGACCATTGCGTATCAGAGTTGAGACATCATGTTGAGGTTGTACAGGATGTTGGTGAAGCCACTTTTGGAGTACTGCGTACAGTTCTTATTGCTCTGCTATAGGAAGAATATTATTTAATTAGAGACGATTCAGAAAAAAAATCCCGGGATGTTGCTGTGACTAGAGGGTTTGAGTTACAAAGAGAGGCTGGATAGGCTGGGACTTTTTTCACTGCAGCATAGGAGGTTGAGGGGTGACCTTATTGAGATTCATAAAATCATGAAGGGCACAGATAATGTGAATAGCAGAGTGGAGGAGTTCAAAACTAGGGGCATACATTTAAGGTGAGAGGAGAAAGCTTTAAAAGGGACCTGAACGGCAACTTTTTAACACAGAGAGTGGTTCATATGTGGAATGAAGTGCCAGAGGAAGTAACAGATGCAGGTAGAGTTAAGTAGAACTAATTTAGTTTAGGAAACTTTGTCCGAATGGACAATTTGGACTGGGGAGGCTCTGTTTTGATGCTGTATGACTCTGACTCTGTAATACATTTCAATGCATTTTAACAAATGAAAATGCCCGTTGACCATTGGCAAAAAATGAGGTGGGAGATATGCTCAAGAGAATATATTTTGAACTAATTTTTGAAGACAGGCAGCAAGGCAGAGGAGCTTAAGAGAAATGAAGGTTATGTCCATCACCAAAGGTGAAGTGGATTGAAGGAGAATGCATTCCATTCATAAGGAAGACCTAAAATACTGAGGTTCTTCCCAGGGACATTGGGACATATGCATTAAAATCTCTCAAGGTACAACTAGAACCACCTCGAAATGGTTACTCAGAGGGCTACTTCTATTCCATTTGGAAGCTATTGATTGATGTTCAGATGGCAATCCAGCCAGACACAGCTCAAATCAGTAAAGTGACACATTTCACATTCAATAAGAAGAGATGTCATATTTATTTCGATACTTCAGCCAAAGGAAAGATGGTTTCAGAGTGAAAAGCTAAGCCTTGCTAATGTTGCAGCAACACATATCTCTACAGGCACTGAATGCCGAGGGTGAAAGGGGATAAGACGCATATGAGATAGAGAGATAGAGGTGCAATGGTATACATTTAAGGGGATATTTCAGAACACAGAACGGATACCTTCCAAAGAGTAAGAAAAATTCCAAGGGGAGAACCTACCATAGTTGGTGAACTAAAAAGTTAGATAGTATCAAACTTAAAGAAGTATACAATTGCAGGTCAGAAGCTTGGATACATTATTAAAAAAAAAGCATACTGAAAAGTTTAAAATGGAGGGAGAAATTTGGGGATGGAAAAAGCCAGTGAGAAATGTAAAAACAGGTAATAACAATTTCTATAAATATTTAAGAAAAAGAATCAACAAAGGGAGTGTCGGCCCTGTAGAAAGTGAATCCGCAGAAATATTAATGGAAAATAAGTCAGCTAAATTGAATTTGGGTTGGTCTTCAATTCAGAGGCTACAAGTAACATTCGTGAAATAGCTGTAAATCAGGAAATGAAATGGAGGGAGGAACTCAAGAAAACTACAATCATCATAGAAATGGTATTGAGCAAATTGTTGGTGCTTGGCTGAAAAATCCCAGGTCCTTATGGACTTCATCCTAGAATGCAACATATCAGGAGGGGGAGAGTTAGGTGGATGCTATGTTTCAGGAGGCAGTCACACCCTGCAATAACTGCTAGGAGGCAGGTATCCTATCACCAAGTCACACTTTATTTACGTGTGCACAGTACACTGGCTGTGACCAGCCAGCTCAGAGTCAGTCCCTCAAGTGAGGAGATTCTGAATCCCCTGTTTATATCTGTCAGCCAGGGGTCCTTGATTGGCCACGTTAACAATCCCAATCAAGGATCTCATAGTCAATAAGATCTACCTGGTTCCAATCACTACACACCCTGTAGGTTAAGTATTTCATTTTTCCCAGTGGTCAGGTATAGTAGAGTGTGACTATGAGGGAGGCAGGTAGAGGGATCCTGAATTTAGCATTGGAGAAGTCTCAGCTCTTGACCTTGTCTAGTAGGTATGAGGTACTTGCTCCCTGTGGAAAAGGACGATATGGAGAATGGACAAACTGACCATAGCATCATGGTACAGGAGGCCATTCAACCAGGGGGAGCAAGAACAAAAGTGGTAATGGTAGGGACTCTAAAATTAGAGGTACACATAGCATCCTTTGTAAGCAAGATTGTGAATCCAGCATGGTGTGTTGTGCCAAGGTGAGGGCCATATTGATCTGGCATGAAAGGATATTGGAGTGGGAGGGGCAAGATCCAGTTGTTATGGTCCATGTTGGAACCAACAACATAGGCAAAAGTAGACAAGAGTTCCTGTTTGGGGAATATCAGGAATTATGAACAAAAAGAAAGAACTGGACCTCAAGGGTTATAAACTTCTGGATTATGACCCGAGCCATGTGAAAATTGGCATAGAGGTAAGAAAATTAGAGAAGTAAACAGATAAAGAATAGTGCGAGAAGAAAGGATTCCATTTCCTGGGGCACTGACATCAGTATTGGGACAGGAAGGATCTGTACCATCAGGACAGGCTGTACCTGAACTGAGGTGGCACCAGGATCCTAGTGGAAAGACTCAATAAGGTGATCACATGGGCTTTAAAGTAGTTGAGACGGGCAAAGCAGCGGGGTTGGTGGGTGGGGGTGCTTATTAAAATTTCTTATTAAAGAGCTTATTAAAATCTCTAGAACAAGGATAGATAGAAAGAAGGAAAGGGCAAAGGATCTAACCTCAAGCTCAGAAAATAAAAGGATAACCATGAGAAAGGGGGCGGTCATTGCAGGACTGAAGATAATGTACTTAAATGAGCACAGTATACGAAACAAGGTATCTGAGCTTGAAATTGATGGGTATAATGATCTAGGCATCACAGAGATGTGTCTGCAAGGGGATCAGGGCTAGGAAGTAAATATCCAAGGATATATATCCTATCAAAAAGACAGGCAGATGCCTTCATGGTAAGAAATGAACTTAAATTGACAGCAAGGAGTGCTATAGGGCCAGAGGCATAGAATCTGTGTGGATAGGGTTGAGGAACTACAAAGGCAAAAAGATCCTGATGAGAGTTGTGTACAGGCGTCCTCGCAGTAGTCAGGATGTGGGACAGAAAATAAATCAGGAGATTAAATAAAGCATGTAAGAAAGGCACCATTGCAGTAATCATGGGGGGCTTCAAACTGCAGGTGGACTAGGAAAATCAGGTCGCTGGCAGATCCAAAGCAATGTAATTTGTGGAATGTCTTAGAGAATTTTTTTTGAAGCAGCTTGTGGTAGAGCCCACTAGGGAACAGGCCACACTGGATTTAGTGATGTGTAGTCAGGTAGACTTGATTAGGCAGCTGAAGGTGAATGAATCCCTGAGTGCAGTGACCACGTTGTGTTAGACTTCACCCTGCAGTTT